ACAGCAGAGATCTCCTGGAGGGAGGATTGGCTGTGGGAGAGATAAAGAAAACTGCCCAATGAACAGAATGCCCCAGCACTAACAGATAGGGATAAAATACACTCCCCCAGCTAAATCTTTCATCCTGAGACAGGCAGGTACATAACCCAAGCCTCATGTAGGATTCTGTTAGCCCACCCCAAAATCCCCAGCAGCCAAACTCGTGTAGCAGTGCAAGCCTGGGTGTGTCCAAGCATGGTCATGGCATGGATGGACACAGCCCTGGAGCTCTGCAGGACACAGGAGGACAGTGGAGCTGCCATGGAGGGTTTGTGTTTGGGAGCATCACAATGCTGCTCCTGCCAAAATGGTCCAAAGGAGAGTTGGGTGCTCTCTAAGGATTGTGGAGATCCAGCTATGCCAGGTCAGGGTCCTGGGTAACTCCACAGAGGAATCCAAGTGCCAAACTCTGCCAGCTTCGTGGAGGATGGATGCTGAGGTATGAAATGTTGGAATGTTTCAGGGAGGTGTTCATGCAGGATGTAGCAGGGAGGGTTTTAGGACAGAAAACAGAGTCATTGGGTGATGTGCCACATACAGACCTCCATCCATCCCTCCCTTGAAATATCTACCCCCTGCAGCCCCCTGAAGTTACCAGGCTAGCCCAGATCTGCGAGGCCTTGGGGGGAAGTATTTCAGGGGCAAGGCAAAAGATTCCAAAAGAGGTTCCAACCCCCTGTGCAGTCCAAGATGTTCATTCCAGGGGAGGAAGAGGGAAAGAGAGTGAACGAGGAAGGGACAGAGCCTTATCTAGGCTCAGTACTGGATGGGCTACTTGGCTCCCAGCCAGGTGGGTCAAGAAAGGAAGGAAGGGCTCAACTAACATGGTCACAGCTGCAGGGGTCTCTGGGGAGGGAAAACCCATTCCCCAGAGCAATACAACACTCCCTCCCTTCCCAGATGGAGAGGGACCGATCCACCACGGCGTGTGCTCCTCGTGGCTCAGTCGGATCCAGACGGATGAAGTGGTGCCCTGCTTTGTACGAGGGTGAGTGACCCACCCGAGGCCAGGCCTGAGCAAGAGGGGTGAGACCCCTCACAGGGTGAGCTCTCTGCCCTCGACTGTTGTCACGGTGGGAGAAAACAGGGCTGGGTTTGCAATCAAATGGTTCCCTTTTGAGAGAAATTCTGCACAAAAATGTCACATTGTGGGACTTCACCTCATCTCCCAGCCCTCCCTCCCCGGGAGGTGTCTCAGCTGGGCAGAGGGAGCACCCTGCTGGTGTCTAACTGGATCTTGGATGTGTGCAGTGCCCCCGGGTTCCACCTGCCCCAGGACCCCCAGGTGCCCTGCATCCTCATCGGCCCCGGCACCGGCATCGCCCCTTTCCGCAGCTTCTGGCAGCAGCGGCTCTTCGACATCCAGCACAAAGGTGGGGCCGTCCTTCCTCCTCACAGATTTTGGGTGGGGCCATCCTCTTCCTCACCTCACACAGATTTTGTGTGGGGCTGTCCTTCCTCCTCACAGATTTTGGGTGGGGCCGTCCTCTTCTTCACCTCAGGCAGATTTTGGGCAGGGCCATCCTTCTTCCCCTCACAGATTTTGGGTGGGACCGTCCTCTTCCACACCTCACACAGATTTTGGGAGGGGCCATCCTCTTCCACACCTCACACAAATTTTGGGCAAGGCTGTCCAGCTCTTCACCTCAAACAGAATTTGGGTGGGGCTGTCCTTCCTCATCTCACAGATTTTGAGTGGGGCAATCACTTCCTCACCTCACACAGCTTTTGTGTGGGGCTGTCCTTCCTCAGCTCCCAGATTTTGGGTGGGGCCATCCTCTTCCTCACCTCGCACAGATTTTTGGGCAAGGCTGTTCTGTTCTTCACCTCAAACAGATTTTGTGTGGTGCCATCCTCTTCCTCACCTCACACAGTTTTTGGGTGGGGCCGTCCTTCCTCCCCTCACAGATTTTGGGTGGGGTCATCCTCTTCCTCACCTCACACAGATTTTGGGTGGAGATGTCCTGTTCCTCACCTCAAACAGATTTTGAGTGGGGTCATCCTCTTCCTCACCTCACACAGATTTTGGGTGGAGATGTTCTGTTCCTCACCTCAAACAGATTTTGGGTGGGGTCATCCTTCCTCACCTCACACAAATTTTGGGCAAGACCATCCTGTTCTTCACCTCAAACAGATTTTGTGTGGTGCCATCCTCTTCCTCACCTCAAACAGTTTTTGGGTGGCGCCATCCTCTTCACTTCAAACAGATTTTGGGTGGGGCTGTCCTTCCTCACCTCACACAGATTTTTGGGTGGGGCCATCCTCTTCCTCACCTCACAGTTTTTGGGAACCCTGAGCTGGGGTGTCGGGAGGAAAGTCCCACCCTGCCGGGCATGTCCCAGCAGATCTGCTGGCAGTCTGGAGGGAGGTGGCTGGTGGGAATTGGAGGCGGCTCATGGGAATTGGAGGTGGCTGGTGGGAATTGGTGGCAGCTCGTGGGAATTGGTGGCCCCGGGCTGAGTGCTGTCCCCGTGCTGTCCCCAGGGCTGAAGCCGTGTCCCATGGTGCTGGTGTTTGGCTGCCGGCAGTCCCGGATCGACCACATCTACAAGGAGGAGACGCTCTTTGCCAAAGCCCAGGGTGTCTTCAGAGAGCTGTACACGGCCTATTCCCGGGAACCCGACAAACCAAAGGTGGGCACGGCCCCGGCAACGCCGCGTGCCCACGGGGAGCTGGCAGGGTGGGGACACGCTGCTTCCCTGGCCAGTGGTGGGTGACTGTCCCTGGGGCACAGCGTGTGCAGGACTGTCCCTTCCCTGTGGGCACCATTCCCAGGACTGTCCCTTCCCTGTGGGCACCATTCCCAGGACTGTCCCTTCCCTGTGGGTGTGTCCCCATCCCAGTGCCAGCCAGAACGTGTGCCCAGGCTGCTCCTGCAGCCATCCGGGTGGGAGAGGAAAAAAAGTGGGAAAAAAGGGAAAAGTGGAAAAAAAGGGGCGGGGGGAAGGGAAGGGAAGGGAAGGGAAGGGAAGGGAAGGGAAGGGAAGGGAAGGGAAGGG